ACTGGAACATCTCACCTAGGTCCCTGAGATGGTTCTTCTCATCCTTGCTTTTGACCACCTTGTCATCTATGTAAGCCTCTATTGTTCTGCCTAACAATAGTTCAAACATCTTGGTAACCATCCATTGGAATGTTGCCCCTGCGTTTTTTAGGCCAAAGGGCATGACGTTGTAACAATACAATCCTCTAGGCGTTGTAAAGGATGTGACCTCCTAATCTGGTTCATACATAGCGTTCTGATGGTAACCTCTGTACGCATCAAGGAAGCTAAGTCGATTATGTCCTACCGTCAGGTCTGCCAATTGGTCTATCTGTGGTAAGGGAAAGCTATCCTTTGGGCATGCTTTGTTGACTGTTTTGTAGTCCACGCAGACACGCCATTTTCCGTTCTTCTTTGGCACTACCACGGTATTAGAGATCCACTTGGGATAGTGCACTTATCTGATAGCTCCTGCCTCCAGCAAGTTTCCCACTTCCTCTGCCACTATCTCGGCATGGTGGAGTGCTAATCTTCGAGTGCGCTGTATAATTGGTCTGGCAGTTTGGTGGACGTTTAGTTAGTGACAGATGAAGTTTGGGTCAATGCCAGGCATGTAATACGGTGTCCAGGAAAATACTTCGATGTTAGAGGTTAAGAATTCCATGACCTCTATTCTCTCAGTGCTGGACAAAGACGAGCCGAGCAAAAAGAACTTTTCTAGGTCCTTTTCATCTATCCTTACCTGTACCAAGTCTTCCACTGCCTTTTGTTCAGCTGCCTTGCCGACATCCGCAAATAGTTCATTGCTTTCTGGCTCTTTGACCATCTGTACAAACCCTTTTGTAGCGCGGCTGCCATTTACTGTGACGAAGCACTGTTTTGACATGATTTGGTCTCCAAAGACCTCTTCAATTACTCTGGCTTCGTTGGGGAACCGCAGTACTTGATGGTAGGTTGAGGCTACCGATCGCATGGCGTGCAATCATGTCCTCCCCAAGATTATGTTGTAGGTGGAAGGAACTTTCAATACCCAAAATTCCACCTGCTTTGTCATGGTTCCTGCTTTGACTGGGCGGATTATCTTGCCCACTGGCCATTCTAGCATTGAGTTGAATCCGATCAGGGGAGATATTGCAGGTGCTAAGTCTTTATCCTCCAGTTTCAGTTGTTTGAAGGTTTCGTAATACATTATCTCACATGAGCTTCCTTGGTCGATCAAAATTCGTTTGACGTCGAAATTCTTGATGCGTAGAGTGACAACCAGTGCATCATTGTGAGGGAAATATATCCTCGCTAAATCTTTGTCTGAAAAAGATATGACATTTGTGGCCTCTGTTCTCCCCTTTTTTATGGCAGGTTGTGCACTTAATACCTCCCTTAAGTGCTCAGCCTTTTTGATCATTCCCCTGAGCTCACATACCCGCTCAGGTTCAAATACTCCATGTATTACATTAATTACGCCTTGAGGTGGGGCGTCGACCGGCATTCCGTTTGGGTTGTTGTGGTTCTGGGGGGCTGGCTGTGTCCCTCCTACTATGTACTGGTCCAAGTGCCCAGCTGCCACTAATTCCTCCAAATGCTACCTTAATGGCATGCAATTTTCAGTGCGATGCCCCTTTTCATCATGGAAGGTGCATTGGGACCTCTCGTCGTAGTCTTTTTGTGCTTCTCCCAACTTAGCTGGCCATCGGACGAAAGGTTCGTTGCGTATCTCACTGAGAATTCGGTAGATTGGTTTTTTGAACACTGTGGTAATGGCAGTGCGAACTCTTAACTTCCTCTTGTTTGGGTCCTCTCTGTTGGCCCGCCTGCCTCGCCCATTCCTGTTAGGTTGCTCTACCGTGTTGACTTTTGCTGTAGTCCTTTTATCTGGCATTGCTGTTGTGCCAGATTTCGCTTTAGCACGGGCGTTATCTTCCTCCACACGAATATGTTGGTGCACTCTCTCCATTAAGGCCTCCATCGTGAGGGGTGGTGTCATCGTAATTGAGTCCCTCAATTTGTTGTCGACTGGCAGGCCCCGTTTGTATTGCGCAATGGCGAGATTTGTAGGGCAATTCCCAATCTGGTTGAAGGTTTCCCAGTAGCGACTGTTGTAGGATCTTAACGTCTCCTTGTCGCCCATGTCAATGGAGAGTAGCTGATCGGTCTCCACTGGTGTCTTGGTGTTCGTTCTGAACCTAGTCACGAGCGCCTCTACCAATTGTGCCTAGGAGGCGATGCTGCCTTCTGGTAGCCTTTCAAACCAGGTTAGACCTAGGTCGCCAAGGCTGGATGGAAACAGGATGCACATTAAAGTCTCATTCCGCTGGTATACTGCCAAAACCTGGCGAAAGTGACTCAAGTGCATGTAGGGGTCTGTCTTCCCCTCATAAGTGGTGAATTTGGACTGGTGGAAACCTGAAGGTAGTGGTGCGTTCGCTATTGCCGGAACGAACGATGAGCTCTGTAACCTTGCTAATGCTTTGTCTGTTAGTTCGTAAGCAAGGCGCGGCATTGGCATTCCTACCTCGACGCTCCCATGTGTCCGAGAAGCCAACCGCTGAAGGGATGAAAATCTACACAGGTCACATGCCATGGTATCCTCCTTCCATCGTACCCTTTCTTCAAGCACGGTTCGCAAGTCAGATGATCTAGGCAACTCTGTGTGCCTAGATGACGTCTGGTGCGTGTGCGAGGGCCGATAGGTGCTTTCCTCAGTATATGACCTCTCAGTTCTCGTTCTCTCAGACTTGGAGTTACGAGTCCTGGAAGTCCGCGATTGAGTGTCGCCTATTCTAAGACTCCTACTTTCTGCTTGCGATGGTGTGGTATGCCTACCATGATCTTCCGAGTGGCGAGGGGGCGCGTTGTCTTTGCGCCCCTCTCTTGTCGCCACCCCTTTTCCTTTTATCTGGCTCTTCATGGACTCCATGTCTGCCACCATCTTCATTATTAACTCGTCCTGCTCCTTCACGCTATCCTCCAGAACTTGAGGGTCCATCCTCTGCCTCTGTCTTTCAGGACTTTGAGAGTGATGGGGGCTGTTAGCCCGCCTCCCCCTTGCATCTCTCTGGGGGTTCTGTCGCTGGGGTTCTAAATCCGCCATGGAAGGGATAGAAGGAAAACCTTCGCGCCTCCCACCCCGCTCTGGGGTTTGTCCGTCGATAGCGGATTGCGGCAAATCTTCATTGTGCGCCATTGCTTCTAATTAGAGAGGAAAAACTTGATCAAGAGGTTTTGTTCTTTTTGGAATTCCCACAGACGGCGCCAATTGTATGAGCACGAAATAATGTTCTCGTATAATCCTGTTGATCAAGTCTGCGCTCCTCCAAATATCGTCGCTTTACTCCCTAAAAACACAAACGTGAGCTAGCCGGGGGGTGTGTGCCAGATACCTCTCCGATGCCTAAGTCAACAAAATAGACAAATGGACAAAAGCTCTATGTATTCAGGGATCAAAGTTGTGTTACCTCTATATAGGTTATGTTGTGAGCTTTTATAGGTTCCGCATAGCACAATCCTAGTAGGACTCTTATTCCTCCATGTAGAGTCCTCCTAGGAATCACACTCCTGAAAGATAATGCTTATCCTTCAACACCCCACTTACTGCTTAAACCAAGTGAGATGGTTTTACCACGGTTGGATGACAGTACGACCGAGCTAACACTAGCCCTTTGTTATACTTAATCCAATGTCTTCACATGCAACTCATAGCTCGGCTCTCCTTTCACTTGTACCTCGGTTTCGTCTGTTGAGACCGAACTAACCATAGCAAGTTTGGACCGAGCTAACAAGAGCAAGGTCCTTCTAAACAAAGCCCAAAATATCTCAGCTCCGAATGTTATGACCGAGCTAATTATCACCGCTCTGATCGTGGTAACCGTACCATATTTGGACCGAGTTAACTACAAGGTCCTCTTCACTCAACCCTTTCAACCTCGGCCCATAGAACGGCCCATTACCGCACCTTGGCCTAGCTCGGCCCTAATGCAAATAAAAACTCCCTCTCACTGGCAATACTTAAATACGAGTAATTTGGGCACCTGAGTCCTGCATGCGAAGAACCTTCTTGGGCTTTAATGTACCATGTCGCAACACTGGCACAGTACAGATTCATCTAACCAGAGAGTCACCTGAGTCCTTAATGCTGAAACTTCACCTTCTTGGCTTTTAATATACCATGGTGCAACACTGACATGAAACGGGCATCTAGCTGAATTCCTTTAAATGACATCTCATTAACAAGGGTTACAGCCCTGTCCACGTTTCCCTGACTGCAATAGCCACATAGGAGAGCTGTGTTTGTCAATCATTTCATCAAAAAGGACAATAGCATCCTGTAGGTTGTCTGATTTACAATGATTGTCAATCAATATAGTATAACAAGCAACATCAGGTTTTAGTTTCTTCTCTTTCATTTCATTCCAAAAAGTGGAAATATCCTTCGGTTCTCCATTGTTGCATCCTGCATTTTGACGGAAACGAGCCTTCCTCATTTTTATTTTGGAATGCCCATCAACCAAAACTGTGTAAGTGATAACATCAGGTTCAATACCCCTCTCGTTCATGTCCTTAAAAAGATCACATGCTTCCTGCAAGCAGTTTACCCTGCAATAACCATTTATCATCATCGTGTAGGTAATGACATCAGGAGTAACCTGTCCATAACATTGTATCAAACACCCGCTGGGCCTTTCTCATATCACCAGAGCTACAAAAAGCAGCTATAAGCTTGATGTACATTATTTTAACCTATTTCCCAAAACACTTGTTTTGGAAAGTAGGAAAAAAAGATAACTTATTGATTTTTTTAACTTTTGTTTTTAAAAAAATATAAAAAAAGTAGAGATCAGATGAAATTTAAATAAATTAATAAGCTAATGAATTATAATTTTTTCCATGTTCTCAAAAGAGACCAATGTAACTTTCTTTATCTAATAAGAACAAAAATAATAGGAGTAGTTATTTTTTTATAAAAATAAGTGAATAACACTGTTTCTTTATCACTACCAATATATTCCCTAACGCTGTTGCTTTAGAAAACTCCCAACTCTGAGCTTATAAAAGGGTGGAGAGTCAAGGAAAAAGTTGTCTATGAGTATTGTTTATGACCATTTCATTTGTTTAAGGATTGCTTACATGACAAATTAAGGGTCCCACTTGTGTTTAATAGTGTTCCATCTTCTATTTTCAGATCTGAATGAAATGAGAGCCAGACCCAATTCCTGGGTTTTGCACTGAGTTTCAAGATTTGAAAACCTTATAAAAGATTTCTGGGTCAGTTGTATTTTTTTCATCTGATTTGGTCTGAAACAGACAGAGATCAGATAAAGGGGAAATGGGATTGGTGGGTCTCCAAGAAAATGGTAATAGGGAAATGGGTTTGTCTGGTTTTCCTTTGGGAGCTAAGAACAAGTACAGGAGGATGGACTCTGAGCTCACAGAGGATGATGATTCACTCCACCTTCAGCAGCAGCAAAGGAACAGAAATACCAAGAAATATGTTCTAGCTTGTGCCATTTTTGCATCTCTCAATTCTGTTCTTCTTGGCTATGGTAAGAGCCTTTCTCTCAATCTTTGACCTCATTTCTGTAATTGACTTGCTCATGTTCTCTTTACATATGCTTTGCTTGTTTGAATCTCACTTTTTTTTAATCAAATAGTATTGCTTCTTTTGAACATGGCTCAATTCTGTTCTTCATGCCTATGATTAGAGCCTTTTCTCTCAATCTTTGACCTCATTTCTGTAATTGATTTGCTCATGTTCTCTTTACATATGCTTTGCTTGTTTGAATCTCACTTTTTTCTAATCAAATAGTATTTGCTTCTTTTGAACATGGAAAGGTGAACTTAAGACGCATTTCGGTTTTTTTTTTTTTTTTATTCCTTTTTTTTGCACAAGGTAAGATGTTAGTGAGTTGGTAATTAGACTTCAACATGGTTTTCTCAAGCGCCGTAGTATACTCTACTTGTCCACCTGTGTCGGTCATAGGAGGGACCACAATGAATCCGGGTATTTGAAGTTACAAAGATCTGACACCTAAGTGCCTTCTCAAGACCACTTGGACTACATCCCGGGTCACAGATGCATCTGGGTTCATGGGATTGCATTCTTGAACCCTCCCCTTTTGGCTCTCTTTGGTTTCTGTAAGGCATGCCATTTTTTTTTATAAATAGAGGGCTCATTGAGATGCATCTGGTGGGTTCATAGGATAATTCTAAACCATGTATTGATGTTATACTGCTTTTTATTTGGTTTTCCTGTCATATCTGTAGTTAATTTTACGGGGTTAATGTGTTCTTTTAACTCCCAACCATTTATTAGAAATTTCCTAATGGGCTTGACATGTGAATCTAAGGTATCTTTGTAAACAAGATGAGTTAGCTGGCTAATTAGGTTTTTACAACGTTCAGATGTAGGTGTTATGAGTGGAGCAATCCTATTCATTCAAGACGATCTGAAGATAACAGAAGTGCAACAAGAAGTGCTTGTCGGGAGTTTAAGCGTCGTTTCGCTTCTTGCAGTGCATTTAAATTGGAGGATAATGCTCGCTGTGGGCATTCTTCCCTCAGTATTCATTGGATTCGCTCTGTTCATAATCCCCGAGTCACCAAGGTGGTTGGTAATGCAGAATCGAGTTGAAGCAGCAAGAACCGTGCTACTGAAAACTATTGAGAACGAGTCAGAGGTGGAGGAGAGACTCGGAGAAATACTATTAGCTGCTGGAATTGGTAACGCTGAGAAGTATGAACAGAAACCTGTTTGGCGTGAACTGTTGAGTCCTTCTCCTGCACTTCGCCGTATGCTAGTTACTGGTTTTGGAATCCAATGTTTCCAACAGATCACGGGTATTGATGCAACCGTATATTACAGCCCCCAGATCTTCAAAGTAGCGGGTATTGCTGGTAACTCGAAGCTTCTTGCTGCAACTGTTGCTGTGGGAGTTACAAAGACTGCATTTATATTAGTTGCTATTCTTCTTATAGACAAACTTGGAAGAAAGCCACTGCTATATATAAGCACAATTGGTATGACTATCTGTTTGTTTTGTTTGGGACTTACTCTATTATTGTTGAAGCACACACCTTTCGGGATTGGAATGGCGATACTGTTGGTTTGTGGAAACGTTGCTTTCTTTTCAGTGGGAATTGGTCCTGTTTGTTGGGTTTTGACATCGGAAATCTTCCCTTTAAGGCTGCGCGCCCAAGCAGCAGCACTTGGATCTGTGGGTAACAGAGTGTGCAGTGGTTTGATTGCCATGTCTTTTCTCTCCATGGCACGTGCAATTACGGTGGCTGGAACTTTCTTCATTTTCTCAGCATTTTCAGCCGTTTCTGTTGCCTTTGTTTACACACTTGTTCCTGAAACAAAAGGAAAATCGCTGGAGCAGATTGAGGCATTGTTTCAGAGTGAACATGAGAGGCAAGGGAGTGCAGTGGAGCTTAGAGATGTTGAGCAGCTTGTGCAGAAAGAGTGACCCTCTCTCCAGGGATCATTTCCTGACCCAATTCCATGTTCTAAGTTGTATAAATCAAGAATTTCCCAGTTTCAAGCCTACAGGAATTCTGAGGAGAATTATAGCTAGCACATGTAGGAATTGGTTCAGGGTTTTATTTATTTATTTATTTTTAACTTGTGTCAGAAAATTGAGTGCACATCTATTCGTATGGGAGAATGAGTTTAATTTAAATTTATTTTTTTTAAAAAAAAAAAAAGAGGGGGTGGGGGAGAGAATCGGTAAAACAATGTCCACGTTAAATTCCTTTCACTGTTACTGGTTGAAATCCAGCTTTTATCATTTAACCTTCTTTTGTTTATAGGTTAATTCTGTTTTATTTCTGTTAACTTGCTTGAGACCACCAAGGGTCCACAAAGCAAAGCAAAGAATTGAAATTTTACTTAATTTAATTGCCAATTTGAGAGCTACTATGCATTCCCTGTACACATCAAAAGCAGAGTTATTGACTATCTAAGAAAAGCTAAGGTTTGGGAACAATCAAATGTATACAATTTTACTTCCAACACACTGAGAAACAGTTTCCATACTTTTTATAGTGGAGGAAAGAAGAATTTAAGATTACTGTTTCATTTTTGGACCATGCCTTAGTCTTTCTAGCATGCAACCTCTGGTGGCCTGCCGACCATCCCTAGAAGCCGTTGGCCATCACCTTTGGTTTGCCGGCCACTGACGTAGCTTGCCAACCACCAGTGTATTTTACAGATATTTTATGCCAGTTGTGCTAGCTGTTTGCACAGATGCATGCATCTGTCCACACATGTAAGTCTGGATTTCCTTGAGGGAATTTCACGTTTTCTATATATAGAGACCCCCTCTCTCTTGTAAGAAGGTTAGAAAAATTTTGAACTCAAAAACTTTCCTCTCTACAATTCTCTCTCTCTCTAGCATTTCTTTACACTTTAGCCTCCAATTTCTTAACCTTTACCTATACACCCTTAACCAAATATTCTCATCTTTGAGCTGAGGTATTCTTGAGCTTGGTTTGAGCTCTAGAGGGTGTACTTGCTTGGTTTTGTAGCTTGGAATTGATCTTCTCTTCAAGAGGTATAATATTTGTTTTATTAGCTTGCTTTGCATACTTGTTTTTCTCTCTTTTTCCCACTGTTTTTGGGTTGTTTTGGGGCTATAAAAACGCTGTCTTTGTGGCTGAAATCTGTGGTTTTAAGCCATTGAAGGTTAGGGGGTGGTTCACCCTTCTTTATTTTTTGCTTATAAGGCTTTTCCACCTTTGTTTCCCACTTTCAAACTATCTTTTTTTGGGTTTTTAAACACTAAATTTCAGAGCTTTTTCAGTGGTGAAAATCATGTTTTGAAGTCCAAGTTTGGAGAGGTTAGCCTCCCCTCCTTGTATCTTGTTTGCTAGCCTAATTGGTGTCATGCTTTAGCTTATTTTTCTAGCTTGTTTTAGCTTAATTCCAGCATGTTTTAACCTCTGATTTGGGCTGTTTTAACTCTGTTTTGGATTGGTTAAGTCATTTGAGTCTTGTTTTGTATGCTTCTAGTGTAATAATCCTCACAAGCTTGGTGTTTTAGGCCTTTAAACATCACTTGTTTGAGTTGATTATATTGTTTTAGTGCTTTTCACACCTAATTTCAGTAAGCATAATCTCTGTAACCTCCCTCATTTCTTGGCTTTTAATTTTGCTTTGAAAGCGGTTTTAAATCACTTGCTTGCCTAAGTGTGAAATTGAGGCTCTATACTTAATGGTTTAATCCCTCAGGGGGTTCATTACCAACGGTATAATACTTCTTTCATACCCAAAATAACTTGTGTTTTGAGCCATCTTTCCACTAGATGACTTTAACTCACCCAATGGACTTAATTGGATTAAAGAATGGTTGGTAAAGTACAATGAGTAATTAAAACTTAAAACTAAAAGTGAGCAAGATAATAACTTAGTGTGTTCAATCGGACGTTAATTGAGCACATGGAACTTAAACCATTTCATACTTGCTAGTGATGAAATGATCCAAGTCTCTAAGGTCACCTTCTTCCCTTGATCTTTCATGAAAGGGGGAAAGTTGTGTCTTGTTTTGCATTTATTGAGCTTGCACCTCTTGAGTTACAAACCATCATGCAATGAAATTGCTTGAGTTGGTGGTTTGTGGCTTAAGTTTATAACTCCTTGGATTTACTCATCAAAAAGAAGGGTGAATTATGCAAACAATCCTTGAAAATACTCTGTATATGCTCTGTTTGTCCTCTGTTGTAGCAAGATGAACCAGTGCATCAGTGGCCGGCAGGCCACTTTCCATATCCGGCAAACCACCATCCATGGTCGGCAGACCACCATCCATGGCCAGCAGGCCACTTTCCATAGCCGGCAGGTGGCCGACAATTTTTACTAATGGCTAGCTGGTCACTGATGTAAATCTCAGTAGAGTGTTGGTAAGATGGAGCAAAGTTGGTTCTAGAAATGTTCAACTGTGCAAATAAAGGCATTCAGGAGCAAAACGGTGGTCTTTTCGGGTGATATTCGAGCATGCAAATGCACATCCTTCGTTTCCCGAGGCAGAGTAGTTAGATGCTTAGTTTAACTAACTAGTTTACTTACATTTGTATTGTAATTAGTTAGCTAATTAATTAGTTTAAGTGTTGTAATAATTAGCTAAATTAGTTTAGCTAATTATTCATTTTGGTTTGTAATAATTAATTTAATTAATTTAGCTTAGTTTATTCATTCGAACTCTCCTTCGTGAGAGCACAATGTAATAATGTGTATGTCTTCCAACCCCACGGCTTTCTCCTTTTTATTTATCCGTTTTTGATAGTTAGATTAGGGACATCACGTTTCAATTAACATATCGAATGTTTACATCCATTTACATTGCATGCACCAAGGCTCGGCGCATCATTCAAACTGCATTTTTAGTTCAATACTTCTTTGAATACGTACTTAGACTGCATATTATCAAATCAATTCATATGCCATGCTTATTAGCCAAGCCTATTTTAATTGCATTATGGTATGTGTTGCACTAGACATTTGACATAATTAGGAACATGTATTTTTTTAACTAGTTTCTTTTTTTGGCTTGGAGTACTAGGTGAGTTTTAGTGCTTTAGTATACTTGCATGAGTGTGAATAACTGCCATGACGAGCATGCTTGCCATGAGGCTAAATACTTACTTGTTTAACTGTTTGAATGCCTGTAGATAAAAGCTTGTTGCGTGAATTGGAATAATTCAATGAATGTATGTTTAAACCCATTTTGTTAAGTGGCAAATTCACAAACTTTAAGCCCACTTAAAGTGGCAAAATCAAACCCTTTTCGCAAAACAAACATGGAATTATGTTGTTCCAATTTAAACAAACTAGTATACACTTACTTGTGCGCATCACATAATAATAATAGCCCAATAACCGAAACAAAAACATATAATGTTGATATCATATCATGATTAATAGAGGCCAATCTTTGATCGGGCGAACGGGAGTACTCAATTCATGACATTCCCCTCTCGAAACTAAGTTCCCGAGCTGAGACAACTTTGGTGATGGATACGTGACCTTTGACACAAGTCATGAGTTTCCTAAATTTTTTCAAAATAAAATATTTAAATGACGACTCTGTATCTAACAAAACAGTCCAATTTTGACATTTTTAATTCCAAAATCAATTTTTCAAGTGATTTATCAGATTTGAACTCTTTGATGTTTATCAACTTCACATTACACTTATGAGATTAGATTCAGAACCACCGGAATCCGAACTGTAGGACTTATTTTCGAGTTTCCGAAAGAGAGCGTGAAAAAATCGAGCCACATTTAGCTTGTTAGAGAATGGGCTCTTCTAACTGGAATTCTGGAAATTCTGCAGAAGAACAACTGGGAACGGCAGCGGTAATATTAACTAGAGAATAGGGTTTTATCTGAATATGAGAGAACATGATATAATAATATATATAAATAAATACAAAAACCGCCAAAGATAAACTGATAACCAAATTTGTGGAATATGATCTAGATTTTGTAAACGACAAATGAATTTTATATCATTTCGCAGCGGAGAAGAGAGGAATGACCAGAATTTCGAGAATAATATGTTAATTTACGGATAAAAAAACCTTGAATATTTTACATTTGTGCATAAAAACAAGAATATTGCTGTAATTTATGGTGGTATCAAAATACCACTAATGGGCACAAGATGAACAAAGGTATCTGCAATGACAATTACATTAGAAGTGACATCCCTAACCATTTGCTATTCCAACAGGTCAGGCCCTTCTGTCACCTAATGGGGTTGGCATCATATTATCAACATTGAAACAATTCTTGCAGGAGCCATCACTAACCCTTTAGTCTGGCCAATTTCAAGGGCATGCCCTGGCACCACTGGAGGCTGCCATGACATATCCCAGAGTTTTTGGTGCTGGAGTTCAAGATATCCAGATGTCTCCTGTTTTTAACCCACAAGAGAAAACATATATTTTTTTCATGATTTTTTGAACATTACACACAACCATAAGAAAACAACTAAACAAAGAAGAATGACATAAAAGACAGTTCATGGAGGGCCTGATAGCCTTGCATTCGCATTTGCTAGTGAGGTGGAAGTGGGTGCCGGCATGCAATCTTAATGCCCATTAATGGAAATATCAGCTTCAGTTCCAATTTTTTGTAAAAGTGAATATGAAGTATAAAAATGATGTATAAACAACACATTTTAGATGAGTATGACATAAAAAATATATACTCCAATTAAACACAGACAAAACTAAAACCAAAAAGATAGACTACATTTTTGCTCACTACATTTCTGGGCAACAAAACGACACATCCACAAATTTCAACAAGAGAGCACATCATGAATTTGATAGAAACAAACAAAAGCAGTTTTGAATGGTTTGGGTCTGTTTGGTAATCATTCCGTTTTCGATTTTCAGTTCATATTTACAAAAATTTTAAAAACTGTCATAAAAACTTGTTTAATAATTTTTTTGGTTTATAAATGATTGTCTCAGTTTATAAATTTGAAAAAAAAAAATGTAACTCAAAAAATGAATTTACGTTTTAAATTTTCATTTTTTTTTTCAATTAATTTTTCTTTTCGATTATTTTTTTTCAATTATTTTTTTTTCAAATAATTTTTTAATTAATTATTCTTTCAATTAATTATTTTTTCAATCAATTTTTTTTTCAATTATTTTTTTCAATTAATTATTTTTTCAAATAATTTTTTTTCAATTAATCTTTTTTTTCCCCAATTAAATTTTTTTTCAATTATTTTTTTAATTAATTTTTTTTCAAATAATTTTTTTAATTAATTTTTTTTCCAATTAATTTTTTTTAATTATTTTTTTTCAATTATAATGTGTGTGATCCCATTGTCATAAATAATAAAAATAAATATAAATATTTTAGGTCTGAACAAACATATTTTTTAGTTTATGTTTTTAAATTTTTTTAAACATTTTGTTCAAACTAAACGCGTTTGTAATTTATGTTTTTTTAAAAATAAACAAAAATCAATTTATAAAATTTTTGTAAACATAAACAAAAAACGTAAACGTTATCAAACGTTACCTTAATGTTTTATTAGCTTCTTTTGCACATACATTGGTTGATAGGAGAAAAAATTCCAGGTTGGACTTGTTTGTAGTTTAGTCATATTGCCTTGCTCAGAATGTAAATTCCCTGATACAGTACAGAGAATCACTAAACTCAATTGGTAAGCCAACATCAAACCAATACAAATTACAAATCTTAATTGGTAAGCCATTATTATAAGGAGTCAACTAAAAATGATGGAAGAACTAAACCACTAATAGGAATAGATGACAGATGCAGGAAAATAAAAAACAAATTATATATAAAGAAATCTAAGAATTTGAAAGGCTAAATCCATTGTTTTTATTCCACAAAAAAACCATCAAAAAAGTAAATAATATTAGTGAAACACGAATACAAAGTAAAGAAAATGAATCTCAATTCAACTGTCCAAGAAATCAAGCCTCCAAAAGAATTACAACATATATGCAAAGATGGAGAAATGCATATAGAAATGATAAACATTGAGAAAGGCTCATACAGAAATTCCTAAAAATGACAACATCATGGCAATCATAGAATTTAAGAAAAATAAATAGATATAACAAGAAAAAAATTCTAACGTGGCCTTTAATTGATCTAAAGCATTTGAGGAAGAGAAACTGGTTTTCTCTTCTTTATTGGAATCAGTCTTTGCGTACTTTGCTAGATTGTTGGCTGGAAAAGCATATGCGAAGTGACATTTTTGATATGGCAGAAGAAAGAACAAGAAGGAAAATTTGTATTTTCTCCCAATCAATTGGAATGTGGAAGGAGCCTATCCACGAGAGATGAGAAGACAAAAAAATCCCAAGATTTTCATTGTTACCCCAAGCATGAGAGGATGACACAGCCAAGAAAATAGGCACACTGAACATTTCACCAAGGCTGAAAAATTATTATACCTATGCATTGACATTACATCTAACTAATAAAAAGATCTCTCATGCTACTTTCAAATTTCAATAACAGGAAGTAACATATCGGTGAAATCAAACATAGATTCCTAATTTTCTTAAAATAAGTTTGATAAAATGTTGTAGATTAAGTCATCTGTTAGGTTTTTAAATCATCAAATTTTGACGGAGAATTGGATAAATACTTGTTCAAAGTTCCAAATTCTGACTCCGTGCCAACTGAGCAGTCGACGATAGTCCCTATTGACATTTTGATGAAGTTCACTGTGAAGTCTGAAACCACGTAAAAATTAGCAGTAGTTAAAAATAATAACAGGACAGAGAATCATAAAAAGCAGCACTTCCTAATCTTCTATGGCCAGAGTTTATTTAGCCAAGTTGTATTATTAAAATCAATAGGGAAATCTATGATGTGCGTCCCTAAAAAGGGGCACATTGTAAAAAAGTTAAGATTTTTTGGGGTGAAAATTACAAATGTTTGTGGTGTGTGTTGTATGGCAATTTGTGGTAAAAGTCATGTTATAGTGAATTTATGGCGCGCAACCTAAAGTAAATGTTTTTGTGGTGAGCAAAAAGTTAATACTTTTTGTGGGTGAGAAAAGTCCTGATATTTTATGATTTGTGTAACAAAATTTTGTGTTGTTATGAAGGTCATTACCATGTGCATCAAATCAAAATGGTTACTTATCCTCATTAATCAGTAAATTTATAAGAAGTGGATTTACTTAGTTTCTACACGTAGTTGTTCAAGTCTACTAAATTTTAACAGTAGAATTCCATTTCACTCCCCTCTAGGTGATGCAAAATATAAGAAGCTCAAGGAAGTGTAAATTCAAAGAAGTGGCAATATTTAGAAATAGGCATGATTTCAAAGTAAAACTGGTAGGAATCTTATAGAATAATGCTTCTAGTATTATTGGAGTCTTATTTTATGATTAGTTTATATTTTTTAGGATTTTTAAGTCAAGGGTATTTTGGTAATTTTCAAATTTGCAAGCATGGGCTGTAGAGGTCGCCCGTGGGTCAAGTTATTTAATTAGTCTTTGTTTTTGTTTCTTGTTTGGTCTTAAATTAGTTTTAGAAACCACAGATATTTTAGTAATTTATTTATTTATTTATTTATTTTTAGGAATTCTCCTAATCCTATATAAAGCCATGTAATGCTTCTAATTCAATAGAATTGATATTTTATATAAAAAAAAAATTAAGAGCTTTAAAACTTCTTTATGGATTGTGTGATGCAATCAAATCCTAATCCCTTCCTATGCCTATTAGACTTCAATTTAACCCTTTAAACCCTAAATTATTCACTCTGTTTTCAAAATTCAACGCTGTGCTACATCAGTTTGGTATCAGAGCTTAGATTCCGCCATGATGTTTTCACATTGTGGGAGATCCTATACGAGTAGATTGACTTGGGAAGAGAGTAAAGCGTTTCTTAGGAAAAAAATTTGTCTGAGGGATCATCAAGATGATTTTCTTGATCAATTGTATGCTCTTCAGCAAGGTGATATGTGTCTGATTGATTATGCAAGAAAATATAAGGAGTTATTTTTCAAATCTAGAGTTGTTGAAAATGAATAAATGACTATTGCTCGTTTCAAAAGTGGATTGAGATTTGGAATTAAAAAAGAGATGCCTCATGCATATTTGGAAGATCTCAAAGACGCTAATGAAACAACTATATAATTTGAGTTTCTTTATAAAATTTACGGAGAAATCTATAATTTTGAAGCCTACGCATAATGAAAAAACTATCTAGCAAGACCAGCTAACAAAAACTCCAAAACAAAGGGTTAAAGTGCCATAAAAAGATGCTGAACATTCATAACAAGATGTGCCAAAGTCTAATGTTGTTCTTAGGTATCAAAACCCTACACAGTTGAAGTTGCAAGGAAAGGAATTTGTTCAAAATCTGCCTAATGAGAATGATGGCCAGATTATGAAGGATGAGAAGCCACCAACTGAAGCTCCATGTATTGAACTTGAAGAGGCTAAGGGTGAAATCAAAGAAATTGCCATTCCTCGTGCTCTTGAGAGTAATGAATCGAAAAGAGCAGTTGCTAGTTCAGAACATACAATACCTTTAGAGGTCATGACATTACAATCTGAGGTCTTTGATGAATGTGCTCCAATCATAATAAATGACGTGGCCAATAGTGAATCAAAATATGATCTTGTGCTAGGTAGAGAGGCTAAAAAGAAAAGAATCGAGGTAGTTTCCAGAAATATCAAAGAAAGCTTTATGAAAACTGATTTGGATGAATTCAAAGATGTGTCTCCTATGCCAATTGACTTTGTTATTCCAGCAAAATTTAGTGACATGATTGAAAAGATTAATCTCATTATTTTTTTTGCAATCTCCAATGAAGAAAAGGTGGAGTCAACTTGAACATTTTAAGGTGAAGCCATAGATGCAATTTCAAAACTTGTGGATGCTTATATTTCAACACTTCAAAACTCGTGGTCGAGTTTTTTTTCCAACCAAGGGATAATGATGCAGAATATAAGAAGTTTAAGGAAAAGTAAATTCAAAGAAGTGGCAATATTTGAAAATTGACATGATTTCAAAGGAAAACTGATAGGAATCTTATAGAATAATGTTTTTAGTAAGTTTTATGATTAGTTTATATTTCCTAAGATTTTTAGCTCAAGGGTATTTTGGTAATTTTCATATTTGCTAACATGGATTGCAGGAGTCGCCCGTGGATCGTCTTGTGGGTCAAATTATTTAATTAGTCTTTATTTTTGTTTCTTATTAGCCTTAAATTAGTTTTAAAAATCAAAGATATTTTACTAGTTTTCTTTTTTGGTTCTAGTTGGTTTAAAAAGTCTCATAATCCTATATAAAGCCATGTAATACTTTTAATTCAATAGAGTTGATATTTTATAAAAAATTGATAGCTTTGAAGTTTCTTCATGGATTGTGTGATGCAATCAAATCCTAGGTATAATGTCTATGGAATCTAGGTGCAAAGCCTAGACCTACCTCCTTTCTTCTTCTCGGATTGCTGTTCACAGCCCTCTAAAAGTGAATTTTTCAACCTCAAAACTCCCTCCAATCACTCCCAAATCAATCCTAATCCCTTCCCCTACCTATTAAGCTTCAATTTAACCCTTTAAACCCTAAATTACTCGCTCTGTTTTCAAAATTCAACACTATCCTGCATCACTAGGTTATTATTTTACAAGAAAAAATAAACCTTTTCTTCACTAACTTCCTATGAAAACTAGAAAACACATGCCCCCTACTGATGCAAAGTATAAGAAGCTCAAAAACGACTAAATTTAAAAATAAAAAAATAAAAAATAAAATTTGATGACATTTGGACATTGATAGGATTTCAAAGAGAAATTGATAGGAATCCTATATAATTGTGTTTAAAGTATTATTAGTCTTATTTTATGATTATTTTGTGTTTTCTAGGATTTTTGGATTAGGGGTATTTTGGTCATTTGCAAAATTTCCTAATGTGGGTTGTGTGGGTAAGCCGTGGGTTGTCTTGTAATCAAGTTATTTAATTGAGTTTTATTTATGTTTCTTATTTGGTTTTAAATTGGTTTCGAAAAGATATTATATTAATTTTCTTTTTTTGTTCTATTTAGTTTAGTAAGTCTCTTAGTTTTATATAAAACTATGTAATACTTTCTTCTTCTTTTTTTCTTTTTTTGATCAGCAACAAAAGATTTTATTGACAAATCAAAAAATGAATGAGGATTAGGCATCCTCTTGCAAAAAAAGAAAATGAAAGTACGAAGTACATAACCTAAACAAAGTCTTATCTCAAGTAAAAATTTACATGTCACGCCCCGACAACCAATCTCTAGCTAACAAAGATAGTGGAACCCCCTTAACGAAAGAATTCACCGAAGCCCAAAAAGAAGTGAAGTGACAAATCTTATCCCACAACCAATCCACTTCTCGAGATTTATCTTCGGACAACCGTGCATTTCTTTCCAACTATAGAACCCAAAAACTTGCAAAGACGACAAAAGTAGCACTTTGGCCCTCTTCGATCCTCCCATAGCACGAAAGTCAATTAGTAGCATATGTGCACTACCTTTTAGTGCCACCCACATAACATTCCTCAAAAGAAATCATTTGTGCCATAGACTCAAAATAACTGGACAGTGCAAATATAAATGATTCAAAGGATTCACCATCCTTACAACACATAATACACTACTGAGGATTTAGAAAACGATTAGGTCTCCTTTTTTGCAATGTATCATTTGTCAAGATGCCTCCATGAACCAAGGCCCACATAAACACTTTCACCTTTAGATGAACACAAGCCTTTCAAATTCTTTTGCAAAAAGAAAACTGAGGAACATGAGATTATCTATGATTTTATCAAAAAATGACTTCCAATTAAAGATACCCAATGAATGAAGAACCTAAACCCTCTTATCCTCCAAAAGAGGAACCAAAGAAAGATGATCAATTCTTGAAAACAAAGAAATCAACTATGTAGCCTTCCTATCATTGAGATTCCTAGAAAAATTGAAATTCTAGGAAATTGGAGCCAAAAGTGAACAAGCCATGGAAACAATAAAAGAATTTTGAGACCGAACCACTCTATATAAATGTGAAAAATTCAAAACAAAGGAAGAGTGGCCCACCCAAACAATCTCCCAGAATCAAACAAGTTACCCATTACCCACCCTCACAGAAAGATAACAAGACCAAAATGTGTAAATTTGAGAAATTGATTTCCAACGAGCACGACAGTTGCCTCTCATAATCACCTATGAATCCCTACCATTATCTTGAGTTCCATAGTTGCTTCTAATAACAGAATGCCATAGTGAATCACTCTCAATTGAAAATCTCCATAACCACTTGCCAAAAAGAGCCATGTTCCTAGTCACTATATTACTAATGGCCACAATATTACTAATGGCCAAATCCCCATTCTCCTTTGGTAACAAAGCTACTCCCAATTCACCAAGTGATCATTCTTCCCCCTCATCCTTGCATTCCCAAAGAAACCCCCTAATCAACTTTTCTAATGACCTTGCCCACCTTCACTAGAATCTTGAACAGAGATAAAAATAAATAAATAAATGGAAATACCGCTCAAAACTGTCTTTAACCAAAGTATATCTACCCCCACACGAAAATAGAGTCTTACTCCACCCTTCCAGCCTCTTGCCAATCTTTTTCATGTAATGCATATGATTCGATAGAATTGATATTTTATAAAATTTTGAAAACTTTGAAACCTCTTTGGGTTTGTGTGATGCAACCCTAACCCTAGGTGCGATACCTAGACCTATCTTCTTCTTTTCCTTTATTTCTTCCTTAAATTTCAGAACTTCCATAGCCTAATTACTGTTCACGGATCACTGTTCACAGGCCTAAAACAGCATTTTTCAACCTCAAAACTGTATCCAATCACCCCAAAACCAACCCCAATCCCTTCCCGTATCTATTAGCCTCAATTTAACCCTTAAAATCCTAAAATACTCTCCGTTTAGGCCGTCAAATAGCCTCCAACGCTGTCCTCCATCACCAATTTAGCTAACACGGAATAGAAAGATAAAGGCTGTGTTTGGTATGCAGTTCTAATCATGATTCTACACTCATATTTAAGTTTGGTGTTTGGTTATAACTTTGAAAATTTAATTTCACACTCACTTTTGCAAACTCATTTCAAGTGGGGTTTTGAATTTTGAAATTTAGCCTACCCGATCGTCTGGCCAATCGACCGGAACAATACTCTTTTTTTTTTTGGCAAAATTGACACCTGTTTTTTTTATATTTTAAATAAAAAATATTTTCAAAATTTTTTAAAATTTTTTATGAACTTTGAATAATTTTGGGTTGTGTATTTAGTTATGAGTCGTAAGTTTTTAAAACAAATATCATATGTCACATCAAAAATTTCAAACTCATTTCAAAACTCATAACCAAACAAATTTTCCACACTCAAATCATAATTCCAAAACTCATAAATTCAAAATACAACTCTATTCTCAAACCATAATTCTAAAACTCTACCAAATGTTACGTAAATCTTTTTCACTTTTTTCCCTTTATTGGCAGTCTGCATCATAAGACAATCCAACTCATTCTTCCACACGATGCTTTTTGGATATTTGAACGAGAAGATCCATGATTACAAATTAAAGCAAATACAAGTATTTACATCACCAGCTATAGAATAAGAAGTATGATTAAGAAAAATTCTATATGGCGTTCCTTTGAAAACCTGGTCCATAAACCCTTGCTAATTTGAAAGCTCCAACTTTATGTTTTCAAACAACCAATTGTAAAACCTGGGTGGCTACATGGGCTCTCAGATTAATTAGTGTAGACAACATCCCCTTAAACTACATCCTCCACATTTTCTGGGCTGGTTTGTTGGGACAAAGCTCGCAAAACACAAAACAAAGAACCAATCTGCTTACAATGGAATTGGATTCACTGAATCAACAAGAATTAGTGGTAGGAAAGAGAAAAAGATGGTGGAAGAAAATTAATAATTTGTTGACTCACTGAGCAATTGGCACCAGAAATTGTCTCTCAACTTAATTGAACTATAATATAATGTTGATTGGATTACAATTAATTTCCAATTACAAATTCAAATGAACAAACTCAATTTATGCATCCAGTCAACCAAATAAACTAAAAAACTACGAGTAGGTTTTTCAGGAAGTATTGATCCATTGGCTACAATGAAGCCAAAATTTGAAAATTAAATAAAAGGTTACTTCAGAATAAGTCATATAAACTTGGACTAAATTGTTCCTAAAATATATATATATATTTGATAAATTAAATTGTTCCTAAAATAATACAACTCAACAGTTCAATTTTGAAATCCATTATCATAAGCCTGAGCTCCAAATTGCATATCCCAAAACTACACACTCAAGAACCAACATCAAACAAAGGAAAGAAAAAACTTGAGAATAAAACTCACCAGAAATTAATGACTGAATGTTAAACAATCCTGCATTCTTACGGTACTCCTCATCAAGCGTCTCGTTGACAAAAGCAAGCCCCATCGACAGTGGAGGTGATCACATTGTTGGCCTGAAGAGTTGCTGCAAGTTTATCTGAAACTGAAGAACACAATGTTTCAGTAATTTCTCAGAAAGGGCTTAGTTCAGAACCATTCTGAGAACTTCTATGAATATCCTGTACCAAGACAGGAGTGAAATTTTCACTCAATGCAAACATTACTACAACGAAAAATATACTTAAAAATTAAAAACATTAGTGATGAGAACTAATTTTATTCCAACGAAATGAAAAATCAAGTGCTAACCATAAGTCCATAACCCACAAACGAAGAATCAAACATTTAAAATTAGGCAAGTCCTAGCTAAAATCAGGTCTACGCAACAGCCTTTAGTAGCCATAAATCCACAAAAATTGATAGCACATTTTGGTATTAACATGTAGGGGGACTTGCATGTAGGTCCTAATAGGTGGATTTATTGTCCAATAAGTCCTATGATAATTAATGGTGTTCCTCATCAAACACTATTAAAAGTCACTAATTGCTAATTTCCAGCAACAATTTGAAAATTGTCACAAAAAATGTCACAAATTATAAATTTTAGTGACAGTTTAAAAAATTTGTCCCAAAAAAAATCTACTAATTTTCAACTTTCAACGACGGTTTAAAAAATTCGTCACAGAAAAATGTCACTAATTGTAAGTTTTAGCAACAATTTATAAAAACTGTGACCAAAAAAAGTCACTAATTGTCAAATTTTAGCAACATATGCAAATAATCGTCACAAAAAATTATTTTTATCAACAATTTTACTAAGATTTATTTTCAATAGAACTTGATGAGAATTACATCCAACTATTAGGACCTATTGGTAATTTACCCTAACTTTTATGTGCATATTTAGCTGCAACTCCACAAAATAAGCTATCAAGTTCTGCTACCTCAACTGACTTTCAATTTGGCTATATTCATATCTAAGATCCTTTATGTGTTGCATTAATTTATGCTTTGGAGCAAAATCAGGCCTCATGCCCCTTTTTTCAGAAAAATTGATACAGAAGATGAACAGAGATTGACAATGTGCAGAATTAGGTCTGCTGATGCAAATGACAGCAAGGAAATAAACAATTGGCCACAACTGAAAGTAGAATTGTTAAGGTAATTATTGGGGAAAACCATTTCACAAAAAATTAAAAAAATTAAACATCCTGGGGCATAGGGCTTTATTTTACAGAGCATCACCCAACAAAACACAAATAAATGGAGGCTAGTGTTTTATTTAGGCTATGCTTTAACAAATGGAGTATAAAGTTTTCCTTCAGTATTTTTAGGAATTTCATCAAAACAGATAGGTCTTGGATATTGGGCCTTGGAGATTGGGTGGTTGAAATGAAACTCCATTAGATTGAGTAAAAACAGATTTTAAAATCAGACCTGAACCATCAGTTTGAAGGGTTGTTCTTGGAGTTGATTCACGCTATTTGAGGAAGACTGAGTTGATTCTAGATGAAGAATCTGTCGGAATAGTTGTCATCTTTGCCAGTGTCTCACTGTCTTCCTCTTGGCTCATGCTCTGGGAGAGTGAAGGTGTGACTGAGAGAAAAGAAGAGGCCTCCAGTGTAATCTGCAAAACAGAAAGGGTGATTGAGAGAGGCTGAGATGAAGAGGATGACCCATGAAGATGAAAAGGAGTTTCAAATTTTGAAACTCAAAATTGCATCTCTGAAGAATATGAAGGAAGACAGTAAAGCGTTGACAAAAGTGGACTGTTAGATGGAGTAGAAACAGTTCTAGCCTTGACTCAAACTATATTTCTAACAATTAGATCGAATAAATCATGACTGTCGAAGTAACATGTAAAACAATTTTTTGAATCTGTCTTGTTTTATTATATAGATTTTTTATTTAAAATTCCATAACACCAGACAAATGATGTGAACACAATTGCATGAGGTATCCAAAGAAAACACTATTCATTATAACATCCTCAAAAGCTGAAGCACTGAACAAGAAAATTGTAGCCATGAAATAAGGGTTGGTTTGGGATGTTCTAAAAAAGTGCACTTTTTGACTTATTGGCTTATATGGGTTGGGTTTGGGTTGGGTTTAATGTGATGTGTTAGAGAGGTGATGTGATTTAAATAAGATGATGCGACTTAAATAGAATAGTGACTTTTTAACTTTTTGTATTATTTGTAGATGCCAAACTTGGCTTAAAATAATGAAAAAAAATGTTCCTATACTGCTTCATGGAGACTCAGAAACACCCGATGCATGAAAATCTTGATCAGCCCTTTCAACCAATGTTTTACACGGACTCTTCTATTTCCCCCAAAGTACCCGTGTCCACCGAATGTGTGTCCGACACCCATGTCCAATTTGGACAATTGGATCTTCAACTTTTTACAATGTTTGAAGAATAATAAACTCAACCTTGCTAGAATACCCAAGAACAAATAGAAAAAAACGATAGTGAAAGTCAAAGCTACGAACCGAAATAACCAAACCAATGAAACATAAGTTCATCAACGTATAGACTGATTTAAAAATAATTCATACAATGTTATGAAGGCTGAAGATCAAAATTTAGAAAATTAAAGCTTAAGCCACATCTTAGCTATTCTAATAAGAAAACACTCTTAGTTTAGTTCGGTAAAACATGGGTCTCCAAAACCCGATGTCGTAGCTTCAAATCCTCTCTTAACTTTTATAATCAACTTTTCAGTATATTTATTAATTATAATCCGAGGTGTTGGCTCATCTACAGATATTGGATTCTATGGAAATTGATGCGGGTTTGTCTGACGAGGAGGTGGTTCAATAGGAGCACTTGCAGGCCGATTATGTTCGGATTGCTCAGATGGAGGAGGTCAATTTTAGATAGAAATCGAGGTGTTTATGGTTGAAGGCTGCAATACAAAGTTTTTTCATCGGATGGCAAATGCCCATCGGAGAGTGAATCAGATTGGAAAGATTACAGTGGATGGGGTGGAGTTGACGGACGCGGAGCATGTTCGGGTGGGGATTGTTGGTTTTTATGAGCATTTGTTTAGGAATTAGGGAGAGGGATGGTGCCCGAGGGTGGATGGAGTGGTGTTTAGTGGCCTCTCGAATTCTGAGGGGTTGGAGCAACCGTTTTCAGGAGAGGAGGTGGTGGGTGCTTTGAAGGGGATGAGTGGCGATAAGGCTCCAGGGCCAGATGGTTTCACTATGGCCTTTTCTAGCATTGTTGGGAGGTTGTCAAGGGAGATGTGATGGCGGTTATGGGGCAATTTTATCAGACGGGCCAGTTTGCGGAGTTCAATGCAACTTTTATTGCTTTGATCCCTAAGGTAGGAGGGGCTGAGGATATTCGTTAGTTTTGGCCAATTAGTTTGTTAGGCAGTGTGTACAAGCTTCTCGCAAAAGTTTTGGCTAACCGGCTTCGGTTGCAAGTGGGGGATGTGGTGTCAGAATCACAGAACGCTTTTGTGGGTGGCAGCCAAATTTTGGATGCAGTGTTAGTAGCAAATGAGTGTGTTGACTCTCGTCTGCGCGCAAGGCAGTCAGGCATTCTTTGTAACCTGGATATTGAGAAAGCCTATGATAATGTCAATTGGGATTTTTTGATGGTTGTTATGGAACGGATGGGTTTTGAAAAAAAGTGGCGGCAGTGGATTTGGTTTTGCATTTCAACAGTCCGAATGTCGGTTTTAGTGAATGGGACACCGGCAGGTTATTTTCAGACATTTCGGGGTTTGCAGCAGGGGGATCCATTGTCTCCTTTGCTGTTCATTCTTGTCATGGAGGCGCTGAGCAGATTGTTGTCGCGAGCAGTGCAGGGCGGTTTGCTGACAGGTTTTTCAGTGGGGGATGAGGTTTGTGTTTCTCACCTTTTTTATGCTGATGACGCTTTAATTTTCTGTGGAGCTGATTCGGAACAATTAGGGCATTTACACTGTGTCTCGCTATGTTTTGAGGCGATCTCAGATCTGAAAGTGAATTTGGCCAAGTTAGAGTTAATTCCGGTAGGGGAGGTCGCCTAGCTTTCGACTTTGGCAACCATTTTGGGTTGTAAGGTGTCTCATTTGCCGGTGTCTTATTTGAGTTTGCCTTTGAGGGCTTCTTATAAGGTGATAGGGGTGTGAGATGGGGTGTAAGAAAGGGTGCAGTGTCGACTGGCCGGGTGGAAGCGGAAATATTTGTCGAAGGGTGGTCGTTTGACTTTGGTGAAGAGTGTTTTGAGTAGTGTTCCGACTTATTTTATGTCGGTCCATGTTATTCCTGTGTCTGTGGCTAGTCGTTTGGAGAAGCTGTAGCGCGATTTTCTGTGGAGAAGTGATGGTGGGGAGTTTCGGTATCACCTTGTTAGTTGGAATAGATTTGTTGTCCTAAGGAGGAGGAGGGGGGGTCAGGGGTGAGGCGGTTATACAAGTTTAATTTGGCCTTGTTGGGTAAGTGGTTGTGGCGATTTTCTAATGATCAGGATCAGTTATGACAGAGGGTGCTGGCATCTAAATATGGTTTAGGGAGGGGTGATTGGTACACCAGGTAGGTGAGGGGTTCTAATGGGTGTGCGCTGTGGAAAGGTATTTGGTTGGGTAGGGTTAGGTTTTGGGATCAAATCAATTATTGAGTGGGTAATGGTATGTGTGTGAAGTTTTGGAAAGATCGGTGATGTGGGGAGATTACCTTACAGGAACATTTTCCTTTGATTTTTCAGTTGGCGGTGGATCCTAATGTGATGGTGGCTTCATATTTGGGTGGTGGCAATGAGGCGCTTGTTTGGGATATAGTGCTATGTCGGCAAACTCAGGATTGGGAGGTTAGTCAGTTGGTAGATTTGTTGGCCTTCTTGTATGGGGTTAGGATTGGCCATGCGGAGGAGGATGTTTTGGTTTAACGGGCTCCTCGCGTGAAAGGTGTTTTTTCCGTCTCTTCATTTTATGGGATTTTGTGCGGTGATGGGGAGAGGTCTTTCCCTTCGCATCATGTGTGGGTTTCTGGTGTTCCGTCGAAGGTGGCTTTCTTTGTGTGGACGGCAGCATTTGGTAGGTTATTGACTATTGATAATCTAATTCGCCGACATCATATTTTGGTGAATTGGTGCTACTTGTGTTGTGCGGATGCGGAGACAGTTGATCATTTGCTTATTCACTGTCCGATTGCTTCTCACTTGTGGATGCTTGTTTTTTCTCTATTTGGCGTGGTGTGGATGCAACTCAAGCAAATTCTGGATGTGCTTGGTTGTTAGGGGGGTGGTCTAGTCAGGAAGCACCGGCGGAGAGCCAGGGCGTTGGCTCCTTTGTGTTTGATGTGGCTGCTTTGGTTGGAGCGGGAATCGTCGGGTTTTCCAGGGGCGGGCCCAATCGATTGTTCAGCTTCAGTCTCGTTTTTGTGGTGTTTTGTACAGTTGGGTGTTAGGTCGGGTAGATCTTGATTTATTTGCTGTCTTAGACTTTGTGGATGATTTAGTTGGTTAGGTCCTTGTTTGAGAGTTCGGTTTTTGTATTCTTTCAGCATCTCCTTGATGGTTTTTTAATAAATCTTTATTTATCAAAAAAATATATATATACATCAATTTTTCAAATATGATATAATACATCTTGCAACCAACAATGCGACCCCCATGCACAGAGCGTGTGGGGGTCCAACTAGTAACACTAAAGGTGTGTTTGGTTTGTATTTGTAGAGTAATTTTTGAGATAAAAAGTACGAAAACTTGTTTGGTTTGTCTTTTTTCAGAAATAGTTTTAGGAAATTATTTTAGGAGAGAGTTTTAAAAAAGTGATTGATTTGATGTGTATGAGAGAGAAAGTGATTTTGAAAAATAGGTAACCAAATAAAATTTTGAGATTTTTTTTTAAAAAATTTGTTTGGTTTGATTACTCTTGAAAATTTGTTTGTAGAGAATTTTTTCAAAAAATTTTTCAGAAAAACAGACCAAACAAGCCCTAAATCTCCCCAACCAACCCCTCAATAAAAAATAAATAAGTAAACAATGAAGGAGCCAGCCAACGCATTCTTTTCAAGGGTTTGAAGGTACTTGTCATATATATAATATGAACATGAAGTCAATGACCAGAACTATTCAGTTCATCAAAAAGATTGTGAACAGTGATTACAGTAGCAAAAAGTTTTTTGTATGACATCTAATTATGGGCTTCACATGCAAAATATGTTCATGATTAAATATCCACAGATCATTGGTTTTCCTTCTCTATTCCCAACAAAAATGATAATAACAATATACTATAGGGGGAAAACACATGTGAGATAAAAAAAATCATACAGGATGACACACAAATGTAGACTGTCCGAGTAGATTAAGTGCATGGATGGCTCCAGCTCCTAGTAGAAAATCTGTTGATTACCTGCAAATAAACAGCCAAGTGTACAACCCAGATCCCCTTTAACTGAAGCCTGCAGCAACATCAAAACCTGTTACTTTGATGTACTGAAAACACAGTCTCTGTGTTCTTCAAAATGAAATGAAAGACAATCTGAATCAAACAGTAGCAACTAATTCTACTCTACCTGGCAATACTTAAATAGGAGTAATCTGGGCACCTGAGTCCTGCATGCGAAGAACCTTCTTGGGCTTTAATGTACCATGTCGCAACACTGGCACGGTGCAGATTCATCTAGCCAGAGAGTCACCTGAGTCCTTAATGCTGAAACTTCACCTTCTTGGCTTTTAATATACCACGGTGCAACACTGACATGAAACGGGCATCTGGCTGAATTCCTTTAAATGACATCTCATTAACAAGGGTTACAGCCCTATCCACGTTTCCCTGACTACAATAGCCACATAGGAGAGCTGTGTATGTCACAATATCTGGTTCTAGACCTCTATCAATCATTTCATCAAAAAGGACAATAGCATCCTGTAGGTTGTCTGATTTACAATGATTGTCAATCAATACAGTATAACAAGTAACATCAGGTTTTAGTTCATTCTCTTTCATTTCATTCCAAAAAGTGGAAATATCCTTCGGTTCTCCATTGTTGCATCCTGCATTTCGACGGAAACGAGCCTTTCTCATTTTTATTTTGGAATGCCCATCAACCAAAATGGTGTAAGTGATAACATCAGGTTCAATACCCCTCCCCTTCATATCCTTAAAAAGATCACATGCTTCCTGCAAACAGTTTACCCTGCAATAACCATTTATCATCATCGTGTAGGTAATGACATCAGGAGTTAACCCTGTCCATAACATTGTATCAAACACCCGCTGGGCCTTTCTCATATCACCAGAGCTACAAAAAGCAGCTATAAGCTTGCTGTACATTATTTTACAAGGGGGATCATCCGAAACCAACACTCTCTCAAATAAGGCAAGTGCCATGTCATTTTCACCTTCCATACAAAGGTTACTGAGAAGTTTTAGGCATGAACTCTTTTTCACAAAAACTCCTTCCTTAGACAGCCGAACAAAAAGTTCATAAGCCTCTCTTGTATTGCCTGCATCACAGTACCCATTAACCATGGCAGCATAATTATGTGGACACTTATCTTCCAAACTATTGAAAAACATTTCAGCTTCCTTCACCTTCCCTCCTATGCATAAGCCTTCAACAATAATATTATGCGTAACAGTGCTGGCTTTTAAACCTTGCCCCTCCATATAATGCAAAAGGTTTAACGCCTCTTGTGCAAAGCCATTCCTAGAAAACCCACCAGCTAGTACATTATAAGTAACTATATCAGGTTTAAAACCCTTTTCCTTCATCTCCTCAAACAAATTCAAGGCATCAATAAGTTTTCCCTGGAGACAATACCCACCAATCAAAGTTGTGTAGTGCACAACATCTAGAACCATCTTCTTACCCTTCATCTCATCAAGCAACCTCACTGCGTCTTCTAATTTCCCCAGTTTACAGAAAGCATCAATTACAATATTGTACAATACCTCATCAATGAATATCCCTAAATCCTTGAAGTTGTTGAACTGGTCTACTGCCTCAAAAGCCATGTCCATTTGACATAAACACTGAAGAATCAAGCTAACAATCACACAATTGGTTTCGATACCCTTCAATACCATTTCATTATGAAGAGACAAAGCTTTAAGTATATTCCCATTCTTACAGTACCCTTGAATTAAGGCACGATAACAATAAGTATCGGGAACCACTCCTTGTTCATCCATATCAAGAAAGACACACTCCGCTTCTTTTAACTTCATCTCATTAACAAACCCACGAATCACAGCAGTATAAGCAAACACGTCCATTTGAATATTTGCCCCTCTAGATGCTTGGAGCACTTCATACCCCAAGTGTGACCTCCCATGCGAGCAAAGCCCCATGATATAGGTTTTGTAAGTAAAGGCATTTGGGGTCACCCCAGCTTCCTCCATCTCCTGAAAAATGTCAACAGCCTCTTCCAAATTACCTTTTCTACAAAGTGCCTTAATCACAATACCATAGGTGTAGACATTTGGGTTCAAACCAAGCCTCTTGAATTGGCAAAAAACAGCCACGGCCATATCAGCTTTTCCACTATCAATCAAACGATTCAAAAGAAAATTACACAATAATACACGCGGCATAATGCCACGCCTTTTAGTTTTGAACAAAGTGTCAATGGCTTCATCAAACATGCCAACGCTAACATACGCCTTGACCAATGCATCGAATGCCTGAGTCAACAAACCGGGTCCCTTGGAATCAAGTCCCTCTACTAGTGCTTCAAATAAAGCTGAAATTTTAAAACCCAAACATTCCTCAGTCGATTTGATGACCTCCAAGAAGATAGAATCCAACCTCCTCCCCATATCCCAATAACATAATATCCTAATAATGGCCATGTAAGTGCCAACATTATGCCTAAAACCTTGTTCCTTCAGCTGGTGGAAGAATGTGAAAGCAAAACTCGGATCTTTCCTCAAACTATTTAAAGTGTCAATAACCTTGCATGCATCTAATTCCACAAAATGGTTATCTACGGTGGTGGTGGTGGTGACAGTAGTGTTGTGTGTACATCCAATACGTTCATCATCAGTAACAGAGTCCGACAAGTAAGAATTCAACAGGGCTGAAACTGATTTGAGCCGAACAAACTGAGTGTGAGTGTGAATGTGAAGATGGGTGATGTTTATCAATTTTCTACCACAAGAAACCAACCTTGTAGAGTGAGGCCTCCAAAACATCTGTGGTAATGAACCAACCTGCAAAAGAACAAGCTCAGCAACATGATCAGCGCGGAAACTCAATTAAACCCTAGGAAATGGATGAAGCAGGAAAAAGAACCAACCGTTTATACAAACCCTACAGAGAGACTGCGTCTGAGGGCAAAAACATTAAGCTCCAGTAACACTGATCAACTGACCAAAATTAAAAGAAAAAAATTGGCTTTTTTTGTGGTGGAGATATACAGATTATCATATACAACAAATAATTAACCATCGTATACATCAAATAAGAAGGAAAAAAAATGAAAATTGGAAAAATACAGAGAAGAAAATTAAACAAATTTCAAAATTAAAAAAAAAAACAAAAACAAAAACAAAAACAAAAGGAAAGTTGATATGGACTGTGAGGGAAGGGTATTGTAGTGGTGGAGGAAGATTTTACCCAAGAATATGAGCTGAGATCTGATGGTTCCAGTCAGCGGTGCTAAAAGTTTCCGCCTGACGAACTCGGTGGCGGCGGCGGCGGCGGCGGCGACAGATGGCCACTGCAGTGGCGGCGGCGGCGGCAATAGCGGAAGGCGGCACGAGCGGCGGCGAAGAGATGAGAGAGGGAGAGTAGTGAGGAGCTGAACTCCACTATAAATTGTGAAGGGAAATTAGTGGTATCACGAAATAATTAAAAAATGGGTCTTGGCTACCAATTAGCCTAGGCACACATAAAAAATAAATACCAGTAAATGTTTTTAAAAAATTAAAAAATAATTTGACGAAAGAAATAAAAAAAATAAATTATTTTGTTTGGTTTAAAAAATTGAGTTTTTTATTTTTTTTATTTTTTGTATTTTTTTTAATTTGATGAATTCGTATTCTTTTGTATTTATTGAATTTTATAAATATTTTATTTTTTAGGTTTATGTATATTATGTGTATTTAGAAAATAAAAAAATTATTTTTCATTAAAAATTTATAAAAAAAACATGAAAAATGAAAATTTTAATTTTCAAAAAATCAATTAGAACCAAACAAGTTGATTATCATTTTTATATTATTTAATTTTTTGGGAGGCCAAAAATAATTTTTTTAAATTTAAAATATTTTTTTTAATATTTATCTTTATCAAATTAGGTTCCTTTTTTTCAAAAAGAATTCTGAAATTTTTTTCTAAAAAAGAAACCAAATAAGGCCAAAAGAATTGAAGAACACAAGAAATCTTTTATTACACATTTAATTGAAATTAATACATTTTTTTAACATATTTACATATTTTTAAGACACATTTTATACGCTTCTCAACCTTAAACAATGCTTAATGGACCGTTGTTAGCATTTGCCTTAAAAATTTTATAATTCCCCTCAAGTGGCGCGTTGCGCCTGCCTCCGGGTGTTTCGAAAAGTGAGCAAGGGGCGCCGCATCGACGCCTGGGTGCGGTGAAAAATGGGCAAAGGTTTCCGCGTTTTTCTGGACGAGCGCGGGTAAAGAAGCTAGTCCAAGACTATAGGTTTAGGATAGCCACTTGGAACATAGGAACCTTAACTGGTAGGACGAATATTATTGAATTTAATATAATATAATTTAATTTAATATAATTTAATACAAATTTTGAATTTAATATAATATAATATTATTGAATTTAAGTTAATATAATATAATATTATGAAGGCAATCTTAGAAATTATTTGTTTATATCCCACAATATATTTTGTAAAACTAACATGGATAATATATATTCAATTTTATATATCAAGTCAACAAACATGACTTGGGGAATATATTATTCAATACTTATGTCCTATTCATTATATATTCTGACTAAATTTCACATCATATTATATCCTCTATTTTATATCCAGTGAACAAATAGAACCGTATTTTCTTGCTGTCCGGATGGCATAGCTCCATTTAAGGCGTTTCCCGCAGAAGTTACAGGAAAGACAACCTGAAGACAATCTGAAGTCGGTACTTTACACTCAAATCAGGCCGTGTCAGATATCAGAAGAATGCAGTTCTCTATTTACCCAAAAAAAAACAAAAAAAGAAATGTTTTAGATTACTAATTAGTAGTGACTTTAATGATATGGTAGTGGGTCCCGCTCACAGTCACTGTGTGTTTATATATATATATATATTTCAATTACCACCTCACTAGTGGTAAAATTAATAATAATAAATTAATGACCTATAACATTACCAACAAAAAAATATGGGTAATGTTTAAGTGTGCAACCCCCTTACGGTTGCACACCGTATGCAAGGTGTAAATGCACAAAAAATGTCATAAATGCAAGCCATACAAAGGTGTAAATGCAAAGGTGTAAATGCCTTGCATACCATATGCAAGGCACGCTTAAGAAAAGTCCAAAAAATATATATATATATATATATATATAAAGAAGTTTGGTGTGTGTTGGACACATGTGAGATAGAAGGGGAGGAAAAAAAAGAGAGGAGTGCAGCCGAGAGACAAGGACGGCAGAGAAGAAAAGAAGAAAAAAAAAATTAAGGTTTTATTTTGGTAGTTTAATTAATTGTTTAAGTGATTCTTTAATCTTAAAAAAAATATTGTCAGTACAAAACTCACTTCCTTTAATTTATATTTAATTTATTGTTTTTATTTATTTGATATTAGTTTGATTTTGTATTTACATGAAGATGATAGATTGATTTTAATTATTTTAATTAGTTGTGTATGTCAGGTTTAGGGTTTTTATACGTATTTATTTTATGGTTGTAATCACACTCATGGTTAGAACCCATAGATAAATTCCTTACATTTCACCATGACTCCATGAATTGTTATTTTATTGAGTGTTGGTGAGAGTGTATAAAAAAAATGTGAGGATTTTGCGATTTATTTGAATGTCTTAGGCTTGGCATTGTTATATTTGTTCTCATGAGTAGATGAGAGATTGTATATATATATATATATATATGTTGTTGCCTCGTTCTTAGGAGTAGACAAGTACTTTGATTTATGCGCGTACGTATATGCTAACCATCCGGAGAGTGTGGGTCAAACTCGGAACGATGTCCTCGTGCAAGTTTTGCTTCAGAGCGTTATTAAGTATACAGGAGGCACATGGGATATATGTGTAGACCGGAAGTGAAGGGTCAAAGTGGTGGAGTTAAGGTACAAAGAATTTAATTATAGTTTATTTGTATAGTTTGAATTGCTTTGATTTGTACATCTCGAAAAATAGTAAACGACTTTGATAAATTACGAAATTTGGGTAGAGGCATGTATACGTAATTCTAAACAATTTTTATATTTTAACTTTTTACTAAAAATATCGATTAGAACTTGTAATCAGATTATTCTGGTTACAACTATTTTTGTTCATATTAATAATGCAGATTTTAGATGTTGTTTTAACCTACAAGACGAGCTCATTTTTATTGGTTTTGTGTAAATTAAAGTAAAATATTATTCTGAACACTTTTCGTGTTTTAAACTTTTCCGAAAAAAATCATCTTAAGGCAGTTTCTTTTTGTTTTCAACTTCAGATTTTTCGGTTGAATTCTGTCTAAATTCTTCTATCAAGTTTTTCTCTCAACTTGTTCAGTTTCTACTAAATTCGTTCACATTGTCTTTTACAAAATTTGATTTTGTACAACTTTTGTTCTTTGAGTTTTGGTCAATTTGAGTTGTTTAAGCATGAAACGGTGCATTTTTATACTTCTTCAACAAGTTACTTATGATTAAATTATATTAACTTTATTTTTTTGCAAAATAGTGGGTCTTACTAACTTTTTATGCAGGACTGACCCACCACATTTTTATTTTTATTTTGTTTATTTCATACTCAATTTATATTTCGTTGGGTACGAGCAAGAAAGTAAATACCAAAGTATCTCGGAAAACTACCAATTCGTCTTAGTGCGAATGGAACTGCTTGTCTTGTCCCGTAACAAGAATTAAATATATTTTTGTTTGTGTCTGGTGGACACGTGGATATCAAATATTGGTACTCATACCAGTATACTTGTATACTGACCCGTTTTGTCTCTTGGCATTTCAAGTGCATCCTGTTTGAGCACAGCCGAGCTTCCTTTGTAGGATTAGTTGGGACTACGGTGGTGAAGAAAAATAACTATAGTTGTTGGACATGTCGTTTGGATTTTTTTTTTTATTTTCTTGAGCTTACGGTTGATATTAGTTTATGTATTTATTATTTTTTTTTATGACCTTAGTATTTTGACAATTTGGCAAGGTTTGTAACTTTGCATTATTTAAGTTGTTTTGATTATTTGTTGTTACTTTAATATTGGAGATATTGGATAGTTATGAAATTATGGTAGATGATTTGATTGGCATTTTTTTTTTCCTTTGTATTCTTTTGAGCATGTAAATTTATTTAAACCTTTTTGGGACGAGAATGTTTAGATTTTGTTTCACCCCTAGAATTTAGATGATGGAATATTGATTGGGTAATTCAATATTTAATTGTCTAAATTTTGGGGCATGACAAAACATTTACATTGTTGCTAGTTGTGTGTGTATAACTATTGACTTGTATACATTGTGATAAACACAATGTTGATGTGAATATTCACATCTCTATGTTGTATTGTTAAGATACACAATATGTTGTGACCAAAATATCACCTTATTATTTACACTTGTGTGGTTATTTCTAAATGTAAATATTAATATTGATTAATAATGTGATGATCACAACACCAATGTGAACTTTTACATCATGTAATAATTATGTAAAAATCATGAAAACTCATACAATAATCATATATGAACATTCATATTATGCAATAATCAAGCAATTATCAGTCGACATTGCACATTACACAACCATCACATATTTCTAATGTTGAAATTCATATCATAAAATGCAAAGCATTAAAATCTGATAATCCACAACAACAATGATTTCAGTGAATATGAACGTTCACATTCACAAAAACACTCACCAATAAGCATTCGCATACACGGATACATAATACCATATCAATCTAAAAACAAGAGGTCAAATCTAACTTTAATAAATTATTGAACAATTCTGAACATGCACATACACATACACATATGTAGGGACATAATTTTTGAGTGACAACACGTGGCCGAGGTGGCACCGAAATGCCAATCGAGGTGCCACGTGTCCTGGACATGACGCCGAGATTATCTCGGCTAAGCCGAGGTTATCTGCAAAGATACCGGAATTCGGGATAAGCGAATAAGGGACAAAAGTCCTAGAATGAGAAAGGACTTCAATTTGGATAAAGATAAGACTCTCAGGGAGTTTATCCCAATCTAATTAGGAGTCCAAGATTAGTATTGAGCCAGAGTCCATTAAAGCTAGGCTTCTATTAGGATTAGGTCAATGTTGGCTATAAAAGAGAGGCGCCCTCGTGGGTCTAAGGTACACTTTTTTGTATTCTGAATAATGAGTTAAGCATTTTTTTCTATCTTTGAGAGATAATTGACTTGATCGTCGGAGTGCCCTCGAGTGGACGAACCACCGCCGGAATCTTATCTTTCTATGACAAGTCGTTCAGGCTTAATCGATTCTGCTGGTATTCTCCAACTGAGTACCTGTTTGGCAGTGTGGTCGGAAATTGACACACACAATTTGATGCCGTTTGTGGGAAAGAAAAGAGAATAGATGGCCAACGACGGACAGAAAGAGAAGGTTGGAGACGACATCCCTACTGGGAGTGGTAAGCACTTTGATCCCAACATAGAGGAGGATAATTGCAATGAAGAGAACTCGGGATCAGAATCCCGAAGAGAAAGACGTCGGCTAGGAGGGCAACGTACCAAAGAAATCAGACTGAAGTGGATACTACAATGAGGACGACCTCCAGGTATGGAAATATAGATGCCTACAGAGGGACGGCGAGATGAAGGGAATGACAAACAAATTGGCGGACCTACAAACGGTCATCAATTTCATAATGCAGAACAACGTCATGCAATCACCGTTCCCATTACAAGATATGCCGATTCCAGCAGCCAAGAAAGATGCCCAAAAATGGGGGCAGAAAACAGTTCCTGCAGTCCCTCAGCACGACAGGATTAAGGGACATTCTCACCGGCCTTCGTGGGAGGTCGGGCATGAAGAATCAACGATGAGAGAATCCCAAAAGACACGTCAAACTAAAGAAGCCTGCACCAAAGAACATCGGGATATTCAGGCAAAGGAACTCTGTTTTGACACGACCAATGAAGGGAGGTCCAAAAGGACTCATAATGACATTAGAAGTAGTGCACCAAAAAGGCTAAAATTCGGAGATAGCCGAGCCCCTGGATGGACCAATCTGAGGGATTACCTCCAAAGGAAGCGACAAGATGCCGAGATGACTTCTCCGGTCAAACTGAGAATGCCGTTTTCGGTAGAATTGGATAAATTCGAAGCCCCGAAGAGGTTCAATATGTCGAGATTCTAGATATACGACGGTAAGTCGGACCCCAACTTTCACGTCAGCTTGTACCTAAACTGGATGGCACTATACACCGGAAATGAGCCGTTGCTTTGCAAGGTGTTCCCCTCGTCTTTCGGGAAAATTGCATCAGACTGGTTTCACAAGTTGCCGAAAAGAACTGTGAAAACCTGGGAAGGCCTGGCCGAGATGTTCATGGCCAGGTTTGTGACAAACAAACTACAGCTATTAAGGGTGGACTCCCTAATAACTTTGAGAATCAGTGAGGATGAAAGCCTTAAGGCCTACGCCAAGAAGTACTATGAGGTGTTCAACCGCATACTAGGGTGTAACCAAGAGGTGACGGTCGTGTCTTTTAAGAACGGCTTGAACGATGATTGTTTACTTCGAAAATCATTGGCAAAAACACTGCTAAAAAGTATGTAGGAATTAATGGCCAGAATAGAGAAGTATGCCAGAGCCGAAGAGGACATGCCGGGACAAAGGCGTCAAAACAAGAGAAGAGAAACAGCTCGCCGAAGCGAGACCGAGGTAATGGCGGATACAATAAGCCAGAGATAGGATTAAGGGCTGCGCAGGCAGTCACAACCGTATTCCGAATCCCGGTTTACAAAATCTTGGAGAAAATCCGAAATCAACCCTATTACAGAGCACCAGTAAGGGTTCTAGGGGAATTTATGGAAAAAAGCCTTGGCAAGCACTGTGCTTACTACAATGAAGATGGGCATCTGACTCAAGGGTGCAGAGCCCTGAAGGCACATCTGGAAGACTTGGTAAGACAAGGTCATTTAAGGGACCTTGTAGACGAGGCCAGGACAATGGAAGAGCAAGCAAGACTGCCTCAGGCACCGACAGCACCACAACCGCAGGCAGGCGGACCTTGAGTGATCAATGTGATTCACTCGAAGGTCAATGAGAACAAAATATGTGGGGAGACTCAGAAGGTAAAACACTTACAGCATGTGTACCAGGTCTGGCAGAAAAAACCTACGGCAGACGAGTGCCAAGGACCAGTGGTGTCCTTTACTGAAGATGACCTAGAGATGGTACAATATCCACACAACGATGCCTTAGCAATATCCCTCCAAATTGGAGAATGCCAAGTGAAACGCATCTTAATTGACTAGGGCAGCTCTTGTGACATCATGTATGTCAAATGTTACAAGGAGCTTAGCCTTCACCAAGATGATCTGGAGCAATCTAACGGTCTAATGGTTAGGTTCAATCAAGGTTCTAAAAAGCGGTTGCGGTCGCCGTAACGGTAGCGGCAGCGCGGTTGCGGTTGCAGGGTGTAAAGGCCGCAGCGTAACGGTTGCGATTACCAGAACTGTGAATTTTTTTATTTTTCGCACAATTTGCAAAAAACTTACCGATACGCATATTTTTTTTTTTAGAATCATATTTATTGGGTTTTAAAATAAATTTAGATAATTTTTTCATAATTTTTAAGTATGATCCAATATATTTCATATTTTTAAATCACTATAAAATAATTTTTTTTACATTTTATTTCAATAATTAGTGACTTTATATGTCATAAATCCATGTTACACTTGTGGCAAAAATTTCTTTTATTGAACTTAGATGTATAAAATTATTTTTAATTATTATACTTGTGGAAGCATATGTGCATTTTAACTCAAATAGTTTTAAAAAAGTATACATTCTTAATGGAAGAACTTGACAAAGTACATAACATCATAGCATAAATCACAAATAATAGAGAGTACATTTTACATAATGTTACTACTAAAATTACATAATGTCACCACCAAAATGAGTGACGTGGTGCATCTTGGGATTCAGATTGTTGAGCTTGATTGTTGCTGCTACCTTTACCCCACCAAAATGAGTGACGTGGTGCATCTTGGGAATCAGATTGTTGAGCTTGATTACTACTACCTTCACCCCATCCAGTAGGAAATATATAAGTAAATGTGCTCATCATGTCATCCCTTTCTGTTTCGTGCATTGGGAGAGAAAATGGATACCTTGGCTGAAAATGATCAACATACTTTTGTTGGGCTTGTTGATAATTTGGCAAACCGTATCCTGGAGGACCATGTTGTTGAGGGGGCCAAGGATAATTTTGTTGAGGTGGGTAAGGATAGCTCTGGCTATCACTGCTATAGGATGGGTAAGGATGATATGGATAACTATGACTACTATCAGATGAATCAAGCTGTTGTTCTCTACTTCTTATTCTTCTTTCATCCTTACGTGTGTCACTACCACGAAACCTCCTAGGTAGTTAGGGTAAAGGTGCAACAAGTTCTCCAATATCATAATGTTCCCCAACATCATATAATCCAAATCCTCCAATAAAATCTTCACTTCCTGCACCAAAACTAGTACCATCACCGCCATCACCACCATTATCGCCGCCACCACCACCGTCACCGTCACCGTGAGAAGTGCCTTTACCATCACCTCCTCCATCAGATGGTGTTAAACCACCACTATTATCACTTTGAGTTGGAGTAGGAGTTAAGCTTTGAGAAGTGCGTCGAGCTTGATATCTATGGGTGCCACCACCATCGTTTCCATCGCTGCCATCGCCGCCATCGCCATTGTTGTCGTTGCCACCACCACCACCATCATCTGAGACCAAATCTAGCCATTCAGAATTATCCACACCATCTAGCAAAGGATTTTCCCTTTCTTCTATCCATGGACTTATTGGATCATCTTCTCCAAATATATAATCCAAGTTAATAGGATTAAAACTCCTATCAATCTCCTCTTGGCTGCTTCTTTTAACGTGTCTCAATTTTAATCTCATGTTGTAAGTGATGAAGGCTAATCTTTGGATTTTCTTATATTTCAATCTATTCCTCGTCTTCGTATGGATGAGACTAAAAGTACTCCAATTACGTTCACAGTGAGATGATGTGGTGGTTTGACTTAATACTTTCACAGCTATTTTTTGAAGTTCAGGAGCACAACTGCCATGAATAATCCACCACTCAGCTACACAAAATTACATTACATTAGACATAAGCCAAAATATGATAAAAAATTATTTAAGTATTTATATATTGTAAATTTGTAATTTTGAAAATAAAACCTGGATTTGATTGTTTCCATACTCTTTGTGCTAAAGGAGTACCAAAAGTTTCCTGTTTATCTCGAAATAGCAACAACTATAATTTGGACAATCATTACAAGTAACATTTGCAAAAGTAGATTATTACTATTAAAATTTAAATAATTAGTACGTACTTGATTTGTTGCTTTCACTTGAGCATCCATATTAGGCTCCAGTCTGGTAATTACTTTTTTAAGTCCATCCATCACTTCTCTTATCATTTCATTGGATAAGGTAACACCGTATTGGAATTGAGGATTTAAAAAATATCCTTCAAAAATAAGAAGACAATTAATAATTGTAAATAAATATACATTTTATAATTGAAATCGTAACACTTACCAGCCGCATGCAAATCTTGATGCAATTGAAAAGACCATCGAGTGTCAATAATTTTCCAATACTCGGTGTAGTAGCGACAATCTCTTTTAATTGCCAACTTTGCTCTATCTATAGCTTCATATATGAAACCCAATGTTGGCTTCTCATCTCCATCAACCAACCTCAATACTCTGACTAGGGGCTCATGAACTTTACAAAGCTCTGTTGCTTTCTGCCAAAACTCCTTTCCCAAAATAATTTTCACATTGTAAGGCTGCCCAGTCTTTGCCTTCCCCTCATCACTATTAAACATAGCTCTCAATTGTTGTTTATATCTAACAATACTCTCAATGGCAATAAAATTTGTAACAAATCGAGTGATGGCAGGTCGAATCAATTCTCTACCTCCAGTGAATTTTCTCATTAAATCCAACACCCATCCACTATTATAAATGAAATTGGTGATGGTTTTACCATCTTCAATCACCTTTGCTACACTTTTCTTATTGGCTATGTCTTTTAGCATGAGATCGATACAATATGCTGAACAAGCTGTCCAATATAAATGTTTCTTTTTTCTCATTAACATTTTACTGGATGCTTTCAGTGCGGGTTCATTATCAGTTACCACTTGAACAACGTATTGTTCTCCAATTTCATCAACAACTTTATCTAACAACCCAAAATAATATTCAGCAGTCCTACTAACAATATTAGAGGCATCAATTGATTTGTGAAATATAGTACCTCTATTGCAGTACACTAAGAAGTTGATGATGTGTTGCCGAGTTAGACTGCTCCAACCATCACACATGATGGATACACCTCTCTCTGCCCAAATTCCCTTGAATGATCCTATCCATTCTGTCATTTCATCATGCTCCATGCCCAAATATACTTCAGAAACTTCATAAGCACTAGGACCCTTTACTCCTGGCCCTACTTCAGCAGCAACATCAAGCATGGGTTGTGTATACTCTGAATCAACTGCATTGAATGGAATACGATTATAGAGTATAAACTTGGACACTGCCCGTCCCAATCTCTCTTTTAGCTTCTGTAAATTCATTGTGGAGATTTTTCGCTGTTTTGTACTCTTGCTCTTTTGGAGTTCTACATCCATTGCCCTCAACCTTGCTTCAGGAGCATTGGGCTTAATCCAATTACGTCCACTCCCACCAGTTTCACGCACAGATTGTGATCAACGAAAAACATTAGCAATACCTGACCCTTTTGGCATTCTTTGAGCACTACCCCCTGCACCAGAACTACCACCTGCATCATATTGTGATCCATGACCTGCAACACCTCGTCTAAATTGTTGCCTTTCCTCCCATTGTTGTTGTGAATGAATACTTGCTTGCCTAGCCCTGGTCATCTCTAGATCAGAATCAGAGTCATCATCTCGAAGATCTACAAAATCTCCCTCTTCATTTTCATCATAGAGATCATCTCCCCTAATATGTGCTTCAAATTCAGCTTTTCTTTTTTGTTTGTCTACTTTACTCATTTTCTTATTTTGTAAATGTTTCATCATTTCTTGCATCCCGTCTCTACTAACATTAGGACAAGAACGCACTTGTCCTATTTGATGTGCTAAATGTTGTTTGAAGCGCGTAATCCCACCTTTAATGTGATGTCCACAAAATTTGCAAATAATATGATGCCTAGTACCTTCAACTTGAGTTCCAAATTTCCAACCAATATCATCACTTGGAGGTTCATCATTGACACCCTTTTGTCGTGACATTTTTGAATATGAATTCTGCATCATTAATACATTTTTTAAATTTATTTTTAAATGAAATGATTGTAAAAAAATATTTAAAATTAAATACTAAATAAAATAATTATAAAAAAATGTAACCACTATTTATACATTTGGATTTTAATATGTCAGAGATACAATTTAAAAAATAAAAAATAAAAAATTTTGCCAATTTGAGAATGAAGCCTTGTTGCCAGAACTTAGCAAAAGATGGGTGTTATCCTAAGCAAAAATATACAGTCAGCAGTTTGTATGATACCCTTCTAAAATCTGCTCAACAGGCAACCTAGATGTCCGATATTGATCATATGAAATATTGGAGAATAGAGATCTAAAGCTAAGCATTTGATTTGAGATGTCCATGAAGCACATAATAATGTGATGCCACAAATCAACTTTGACAACTACCAGAACACCCAAAAAATATACGGACTAACAGTTTCCAAGTAAATCAGAGGAAAATGTACCTGTGCGAAACCTCTTACACGGAAAAGACCATGTAAGCTTCCAGATAATTCATATCTACATACAGTTCCCAGCTCTGCAACCCTGATTGGAAAATCCTTACAAGAGTGCAGCTTCTTTATAAACCAAAATATGGTAAGCACAGTTCATTGGTCGAAGCTGGTAAAGTTCTTCATCAATCTTCACCGGATCATACATATTCTCTTTGTAGAAATCGAGATGACCACTGATCTTCCAAAGATCTGCCTTTGCTACGTGGGGAATGTACAACAGATCTAACCATGTTCCATGTGAATTTTTTTCCAGGCATCTTCTATTATGTGTCTTACAATGGCCCCCTTTGGATGCCAGAACACCAAACCTCCACCAGCTTCGTCCTGCAGGTATTTCACAGAAGCATGAGTTTCAATCTGTAAATTAATATTTGCAGATGAATTTACAAGGAGTAGATGAATAATAGAAAATTAGCAACGTAAAGCCTTTGATTCCCATAAGAAGTTGCAAAACACAGTTTCATTGCAACTGCAGATGAAATCTACCTGTATCGAGAACAGATCAAGATCTTGGCCAAGGCACCTGTGATCCCAGTGTTTAGCCACCTCTTTAAAATGAAGGTATGCTTTCAATTGTTTTTCATCCTCCCATGCTGTGCCATAAATCCTTTGGAGCATCAGTTTGTTAGTGTGTCCTCTCCAGTAAGCACCAGCAACGGGTTTAAGTTCAACAGATTTCCTATCAATATTTCCCAGTAGACTCAACATGGGGCCCACCACAAAGGTCCCACCATTCATTACCTGAAAAGGATATAGAATAAAATAGTGAGTAGAGCAAGAATGACAAACAATTGCGGAAGGTTGAATGAACCCTACTGCATGAGATTTCTAATTATTCACACTAACAAAAAGCAAGCTTACCCTATTGAAGGTGAAAACAACATTCTTAACTTTAGTTATCATGCTTCTCACTTTAGCCTTGGTTGTGTGTTTTTCCTAGGTCGGTCATTTACTTGATTTTTCCCCTTGGAATAGAGTTACTTGATTTAACAAGCAATTAAACCCAACTACTTGGAAATTCTCAACAGATGTAGCAACCACATCACTAGAAATACAATCTCACAGTGAAAAAAATCTAAAAGTGGTTTTTTTTTTAAATAGAAACAACTGAAGAGAGGTTTTCCAACCTAATGAAATTCAAAGGGTTTGATTTCAGAAAGAGGTGGACACAAAAAAACCATGCAAGACATGCATTCAAAAACCTTACCAATGTGATAGATTGTGATGGTAACCTCCTTGATACTTTCCAATATTTCCTCCTCCCTCTTCCCTCTTCTCTCTTCTCTCTTCTCTCTCTCTATTTCTCACTCATATCATCCGTATTTCAGATCTGAAAATTTGTGGATGGATACACCTCACCTCGAAGTGGTTCATGTGCTGTAAAGCAAAGCATTTGAACCAGTGATTGAGCCTCTGAATAATAAAGGTATGTACCACATCTTTTGTTTTTTTGTTTTTTTCTTTTGTTTGAACCAGCATTTGCACTATCCGTATTTCTTTTGTTTTTTTTTTTGAAAATAATCAGCAAAAAAAGCCCTGTAGCGGGTGTAACGGACCGTTACGGCCGTTACGCCACCGTTACGACCGCTATGTCGGCCGTAACGGCCGATACACCTGTGAATTTCAATCACACCGCAAAATCGGGGGTAACGCGTGGTACCTACCACCGAAACCGTTACGTAACGGCCGAAATCGTTACGTAACACCGCATTTTTAAACCTTGGGTTCAATGGAACGCCGACGTGGCTCCTGGGAGCAGTAAGTTTGGAGGTGCAGGCTAGCACCAAGAAGGTAAAAACTGAGTTCACAGTAATTGACACTCCCTCCCCTTACAATGCTATCCGGGGAAGGCCATGGCTGCATGTAATGAGGGCTGTTCCCTCAACGTTGCACTAGCTGTTGCGATTCCCATTAGAGCATGGCATTGAGGAGGTCAGAGGGGATCGAGTGCAGGCGAAGAATTGCTTCATGGCAGCAATGAAATCCACCTGCAATATACGAGAAGCAAAAGCAGCAGAGATCGAGGATGAGGACATGGAAGTCCTGGATGACGTCGGCAAAGAGCCAGCCGAGAAAAGTGAGGAAGCCCTGAAGAAAATCTTTGTCTAGCAAAGGGATGAAGCGCACTTATTCCTTCTCGACTCGGTCTTGGCCGAGGTAGAGGAAAAAGAGCTAGAGGCGTTCTTGAGAGAAAACATTGAGGTGTTTGCCTGGACGCCATACGAGATGTCTGACATTGACCGCGAGATCACTTGTCATAGACTGAATGTGGACAGGTCGGCCAAACCTGTCATCCAACGAGCAAGAAGGCCGATGTTGATGCAGGTTGAGGCAGTAGAAGAGGAAGTGGATAAACTTCTGGAGGCCAAATCCATACGAGAGGTAAACTACCCAACATGGCTATCAAACACGGTCGTCGTGAAGAAAAAGAATGGGAAGTGGAGGGTCTGCGTGGACTTCACCAGCCTGAACAAAGCTTGTCCCAAAGACAGTTTCCCACTACCCAAGATTGACCAATTGATAGATGCCACTTCAGGGCATGGAAGGATGAGCTTCCTAGATGCTTATAGGGGGTACCATCAGATAGCTATGTACCCCCTAGATGAGGAGAAAACTGCATTCATCACCCCAAAAGGGCTGTATTGCTATAGAGTAATGCATTTCGGGCTGAAAAATGCAGGAACAACTTGCCAGAGACTGGTGACCAAGATGTTTAGGCATCTAATAGGCAGAACAGTGGAGGTATACATAGATGACATGGTCATGAAGACCAAGGAACCTGAGGATCATTTAGAAGACTTAAAGGCAGTTTTTGACATCCTTAGAACATATCGGCTCCGACTCAATGCATCGAAGTGCGCATTTGGAGTTGGGTCTGGTAAGTTCTTACCAGAAGGGGCATTGAGGCTAGCCCGGATCAGATCAAGGCCATTCTGGAGTTAGAAAGTCCAACGTCGGCAAAACAAGTGCACATGCTGACTAGCAAGGCTGCAGCCCTAAACAGATTCATAAGCAGAAGCTTTGACAAATGTAAACCTTTCTTCTGCTTAGTGAAGAAAGCCATAGACTTCTTATGGACAGAAGAGTGCAAAGTCGCCCTGGCTGACTTGAAGAAGTATTTGACCACAGCTCCAGTTCTCTCAAATCTAGTACCTGGAGAGGAGCTATTCTTATACTTGGCAGTTTCAGAGCATGCAGTGAGTGCAATAGTAATCAGAGAAGAAAAGGGGGAGCAAATGGCAGTTTACTACGTGAATAAAACCCTAGCTGATGCAGAGACCAGATACCTACCCTTGAAGAAGCTAACACTAGCTTTAGTAATGGCTTCCAAGAAGCTGAATCATTATTTTCAAGCCCACAAAATTGTGGTGTTAACTGAGCATCCCTTAAAGTCCCTGTTGCAGCAAGGAGATTTGACAGGTAGGATAGCCAGATGAGCAGTGGTGTTGGGCCAATACGACCTGGAATTCAGACCCAAAACATCAATCAAAGGCCAAGTTTCGGCCGACTTCGAGGCCGAGTTCACACCAAGCGCCATCACACATCGGGCTCCGATGAGCCGAGGTTTAGGTGAACAAGGAGAAACCCAGTTGGGGATAGCCAAACAGAGGAAAGAGGAGAAACTCAGGCCCTGCAGTATTTACGTCGGTGACTCCTTCCACCTATTTGTTGACGGAAGTTCAAACCGACAAGAGGCGGGGGCAAGAGTAGTGCTAGTATCGCCAGATGGGCAAATACTGGAACAATCCATTCGTTTGGCGTTTAAAGCCTCAAACAATGAAGCAGAGTATGAAGCACTAATCGTAGGATTAAAACTGGCAGTAGCAATGGAAGCTGACGAGGTAATAGTCTTCTGTGACTCCCAACTTATCGTCAACTAGGCAATAGGCAAATATACAACCCGAGATGAAAGGATGTTGGCCTGTGTAAAGGAGGTGGGCAGACTGGTAGCCTTATTCCAGAATTTTCGACTACAGCAGGTTAGCCAAGATGACAACAGCCATGCTAATGCTCTGGCCAACCTGGCTAGTGCAATAAAACCTGGAGAGGCAAGGACGATAATGGTAGACTACTTGTCAGGTTCAAACATAGAACCACTGAACACAGAGTACGAAGCAATGTGTGTGGAAATGGGACTAAGCTGGATGGATGCAATAATAGTATTCCTTAAAGAGGAAAAACTGCCAGATAATCATAAAGAAGCACACAAGATCAGACTGAAGTTGGCAAGATTCAGTCTGACAGTAGAAAGACATCTCTACAGAAGATCTTTTACTAGACCCCTTTTGAGGTGTGTACATCCTTCACAAGTTGAAGACTTTTTGTATGAGATACATGAAGGAGTATGTGGAAGCCACGTAGAGGGCAGGTCACTTGCTCATAGGGCCATTACTCAGGGATACTGGTGGCCCTATATACAGAAAGATGCTGAAGCCTATTGTAGACGTCCCCGAACGTCCCGGAAGGGAATCCCGTTTTGTTCATTTGGGCTCACTACAGTTCGGACTCAATGTCACAGTTCTTAATCTGATCTCGCAAAGTGCAATGCAAGATTAATAAATCACCAAAGAGTCCAAGTCCGGCAAATCGTTTTGGAAAACATATTTTTAGAAAGAAGTGCCAAACATGGACTGCTTTGCCAGATACAAAGTCGCCATCTAAATAATTTATTTTGTGGGGAATTTAGGAAACCCTGACTCGTGCCTAAGGCCACGTGTCCGTCATCACCAAAGTTGCCTTGGCTCGGGAACTTGGGTACGATTGGGGAAGGTCATTTCATGAGCACCCCCGCTCGTCCGATCAATGATCGGCCTCTACTAACTATGATATCGAGTTTTGAAAACATTATGTGCTCTTATTCTGGTTATTAGCCTAGAATTACTATGTGATGCACACAACATACAAGTATAGACTGGATCGTTTGAGTTAAAATAAGACATTTCATGTTTGTTTATTTGAAAGATGGTTTGATGGTGCTACTCGCAAGTAAGCTAAGACGTGGATTTGCCACTCTCAAGTGGGCTTAAGAAAACATGATTTTGCCACTCTCAAGTGGTCGTAAAACTCTCAATTGGTGAATTGTTCCAATTCAAATAACCCAACCTTCACCTACTGGCATTCAGGTAGTTATATCACATAAGCAAATAGCCTCATGGTAAGCATGCTATCATGGCAGCCACTCACACGCATGCAAGGATGCTAAAGCATAAATACTTACCGAGTACTCCAAGCCAAAGAAAGAAGCTAATTAGAAATCATGCGTGAATCCTAACTATACTGGATTGCCTAATGCAACACATGCAAAAATGCAACTAAGATAGGCTCGACTATTCTAAAATGGCATATGAAATGCAATAACAGATACACGTATTTAACTCGAAATTGAAATACAATGCAGTTAGTATGATGCGCCGAGCCCGGTGCATGCAAGACAGATAAATGGATGCAACATGCGAGCATAAGTATGCTAATTGAAACGTGCCCTAAACTAACCATCATAAGCTGGTAAATAAAAAGGAGAAAGACGTGGGGTTGGAAGACATGCTTCACACAAACACGCACACTTATTACAACATTGCTCTCCTCAGAGGGTCCGAATAAATAATACAGAATCGAAGTCACTAATTATTACACAATACTAGCTAATTAACAAATTAACTAAACTAGCATGTAAACTAAATGAAAGTGGGCTGCCTCGGCTCTGTTTTGGATGACAATGGATGTATGCATGCTCGAGTCGCCTTGCCGAGAAATCCATCGCGATGCCCCGACTTGCCTTTGTTTTCAATTGAACTCAGAAACTTGCACGAAGCTCCAGAAGACTGAAACTCCACCCTGGGAAGCTATGGAAAGGCTGTCGACCAGCCCTTGGCCTTGGAGACCACCTGCCGACCACCTTTTGCGGTGGAGACCAAAAGAGGTGGTCTGCCTGCCAGAAAAGCTGGTCGGCCGACCAGTTTCTGCCTCCTGTTCTTGGTTTTCTGCAACACAAAGCAAGAGAGAGGCATAACAAGGTATTTTCAACAAATGTGTGCATGACCACTTTTCCCATCATTGCATAAGCTCCAGGGAGTGTAGTCCTTGATCCTCGTACCATCAATCACGCATCCCGATGTATGATGGCCGAGGAGTCGGATTGCACGACTTGATGTAAAATGAATGCACAAATGAACACAATAAGGCCTAAACTCCATCATGGGTAATCTGGAGTGTCGGTGACCGAGAATCGAGGCACGTTTCGTCACTTGGAG